ATGAACACTGTAGTCGGTTTCTGTTGGTCCAGGGGAAGGACTAGAAAGACACTTGAGTTCTTCGTCAGACTCGTCGCCGTCTTCCTCGCACTGGCTGCTGATTTCCACACTGGGCTTGAAAGAGTCCTTGAATGGCGTCGGCGGGTCTGGCAACACTGACGGCTCTCCCAGGGTTGACAAATTACTGCAAAATTAAAAAGAAAAACTTTTACAATTCTGATCGAAAATAACGATGACAGATTTTTTTTTTTTGCCCCACACATCAAGTCGCAAGGCAATGCATCAAGCTCAAGAAAAATATCCACATTTTCTCGCATAATATCACGCGCACATTTTTTATTGTACAAAAATTGCCAATCATACCCGAGTACGAAAGTTTTCAAAAACAATTTTTTTTTCCTGTCGCCAAAATATTTGCTTTCGGTGCGCATCATATCGTGAGCTCACAATTTTCAAAGGACTTCTCAAATATTGTATGATGCAATCATATTAATCGTTCATTTCATATTCTTACATGCGTTAATTTTTTAAATATTGCAATTTTCAGGTCACATAAAAATAAAGTGCACTTCTTACCTGAGGATTTTCTTTTCTGCAAAAAAATCATCAATGCTTACGAGACAATTTTAACACTAAATGCATGGAAACATTTGGATTCAAAGCTGTAAAGTTAGAATGCAGGCGCTAACTTTTTCCCAACTTAAAGACAGTTTTTTAGTTAGGAGCTCAGAATGAGCTTTTTATGCTACTGATCTGCTAGACTACTGTGGTGAAAATGTTTTTTTTTTAGAGGATGCAAATTTCGATTTTCGGGATCGCGAGTGCAACAAAACATTCGTTTTCCTGGTTCAGGAAGCAATTATTATATTGTACAGTACAGTACTTAAAAAAAAATTATACAACTCTTAACAGGGAATTCGCCAATATTGTCACGCCGTAAAATTAAAATGTCGAACCTTCTACGATATGTCGAACCTTTAAATGGTAGGTACAGGTACATCACCTAAAAAAGTAACCCACACGATTTTTTGTTTGTTTTGCAAGCACAAAAAATATATTACTCGAGAAATTGAGCGGCAAGTTTATTTTATATTCAACTGATGGAAAAAATGAACCTCAACCTCTTATTCTCAACCCGGTCTGATTTGAAACATAGTTTTTTTTTTCTCTTCCAAAAGTTGGCAAAAGACCACAACAGTATTTTTTTTTTAGGAGCGAGGTCAAATGAGCAACAAGCAACTCAGTGTCAGCTCAATAAGCACACAGCTCTGAAATACGGGTTTGATTGCAGGGTTGCGTCACCATTCGTACCAGAAAAAACTAGAGGGGAACATGCAACCATTTTCCCACGCACTTCAACCCTCGCCATCTCGGATCCGTCGTAAAATTGGGCATAATTTTAGACTCCTTTTCTTTGCGGTGCAAAAAACATCCTGTTTCATCAATAACTTTCTCTTTCAGTGTTTGAACGGTTCTGTTAAGCACAACATTTTTTCAAAAATATCTTCCAATTAAATTTATTGACTTGAGAAATTTAGTAATAGATTTATTTAGTTAACTTTTCCTCATTTCTTGGGAACCATTATAAGTAGAATCTCGTGACAACAAATCTGGTCATTAACTCGAACTTTGCTTCATTAAAAACGATTTACTGCTTTAAAAATGTGCTTCGATAAAATGATCAGGGTTACCGAAGGAACTTTGCTCTAAAATGAAGTGGTTCTATACAAAACCTCTAATTTAGCTATTAAACCATGCACAAAAACGAGTGTGGAGATTTATGTAAATCCTGATTGAAATATTTAATACTTTTACTTTTGAGGATTTTCTATTCTAAAATTAATTCCCCGATGAACAATAAACATGAGATCCTGCGTTTTCCTGAGTTACTCACCCACGCAAATTTGTCGCTGTCCAAGAGAATCATGTCTGAAAATTCGTTGCTTCTCACTCTCAAAAAGTGGTTACTGTCCAAAAATACAGTACTCCAAAATTATTATCTTTCGCGAGCTCTTTGAAAAAGATTTTTTTTGCGGGCCAATTGAAAAAAATTATCAAAGCAAATATTTGCGTCAAATTTCTCTTCCTCACTCATAAATTGGTAGCTGCTCAAAAAAATTATATTTTAAAACTGCATTATCTTTTGCGTTCTTTACACACTCAAAAATGTATTGCTTCCCGAAAAATATTTCGAATTGTTTTCCTTTCATGACCTTTATACAAAAATAGGCCCCTGTCCAACAGGAAAATACTGTATATCAAAATTTAGTATCTTGGTGTGAGCTCCTTACTCTAAAAAAAAAAAAAAAGATCGGTTGCGGCACAAGAAAAATAAATGAATAAAATAAAAAAGTTCCAACTTCTCTTCTCCTGCGAGATTTTCACACGCAAAAATATGTTGCTTCACATGAAAAAAATGCAGATAATTTATGGGAAGGCGAAAAATCGACCAGTCAGGCAAAAAACAACTTCTTCAACTCACTCTCGCCGATCGTCCACCGTATCCGGCAAAACCGCAACGACACTCGCATCGCTCGGCCACTCAATCATCGCCATCGACGTCTTCGTCATCGTCACTGTCATCGGGGATCCCACGATGCTCGGGATCACTATCGACGACGTTGTTGTCGACGTCGACGACGACGACGACGACGAAGAAGAAAATCCCAATTCGTTGCTACCAAACACCGTCTCTTGGTCCGGATCCTCTTGGCCGAGTTGTTTCCGTCGCCGACGTCGTTCCTTCTCTTCACGCTGTAGGGAAATGGCGAATTCCGAGGCGAACGTCGACGACGTGGACGAGGCAACGGACGCCAGTGACGGCGATCGAGCCGGAAGTCCTTGCAGTGGCGGACTCGGCGCCGGCTGTTCCGGCGACGTCCCGCATTCCGCGTCGAAATACTCAGAACTCATTGAATGAGTCTTCTGCAAAACAAAACAAAAAAATTTATTCACGAATAATTCGTCGCATTGAATGAAAATGTACACATTCAAATTGAATAAGGTCGGTAATCAAATGCAGTGAGTCCCTAACATACGGACGCTGGACAATTTCACTTAGCGACACTTCAAAAGGAATAAAAAAAATGTGCCGCGACAACCAGACAATAACTCAAAATACGCACACTTTCACAACATTTCTAGAAAAACTAAAAATGAACTTTTACGCATAAATTTTGATATTTCTTTAAGGAATTGAGCAATTCGCATTCACAAATATTACCAAAAATTCAAAATAAAATTACCCTAATTCATGATCAAAAAGGCTAATTTTTGCTTCTTTTTTTAAAAGTTTTTTTCCAGTATGTGTGCACAGAAAAGGGAACAAAGGGAGAGAGAGACGAAAAATCGCAAACAAATTTTTCAATTCAGCAAGAAATGTTCTTTGAGGAATTCAGCAACGATACAGCAAAAAATCTAAAATTCTAAATCATCTCAAAGAGCAAATCTTCGATAAAGTGAAAAAAAAAATGATCAAGCGAAAAATTAAATAGGAATGTGAATATAACGAACATTTTGATCTAAATTCCCATCATGAATTTTATTTACCGAAAGAACCCAGAATTTCCAAAAAATGAAATCGCACGATTCCAAAAAACACAAAATCATTTGGGAATCCAAAATTTGTGAATAAAAACTCCGAACGGACGCACAAACGAGATAAACTGATAAAGTAACAAAACAAACACACTGAATAACTATGATACAATTCTTTGAAAAAATGACTTGTTGAATTTATCTTTTCAGCAGTCATATTGAAAAAGCAGATGCACTGAAACGTATTTATTTACAACAACGAAAATAATCCTTGTCAATCGTTCAAACAAATGGTATTTTCATGAAATCTAACGAGTACCTTTAAAATAATTTACCGTATATAAACAATAAATTCATTTTTTCTTCTCAAATACGAAGATAAAGTTATATAGCATTTATCTTTAACTGGAATAACCATTGAAAGAAAAAATATTCGCGCCCCCAACAAAGAGTAAAAAATTGAAATTTCACCATACCGATTAAAAAAAAAAAACTCACCTGGTAATTACTACGCAAGATTTCCACCGACGATTTGTCATCATCCAACGCATCTTCATCTAAAATAAACAAGAGGAATGAATACGAACCGTGAACAATCCGTCTTTTGTTGAAGTAATCCACTGTCTCAGGATAATGTATTGCATAATTACTAATCACACTAATCGCTTCATACACACAAACAACGGTACAGAAGAGTATTTTGTACAAAATAGATAATTACAAACTCGTGATCACACACCCAGCACCAATACAACAACCGAAACCAGAAGCTAGTGAGGTTAAAATGGTTCCGAAAACCCAGCAAAAAAGGAGACAATACTGTACATGGAAAAGAAAAAGTATAGGAAAGAAATTACGGTGTTTCCCAAAACAAATACTATTTATAAAAATACGCCTGAACAAAATTTTCAGAAACGGCATTTTCTAACTGATATCACAGACATTCACTTTGAATTGTGGACCATCCTATTTAAAATTCAATCTAGTCAACGAAAAATTGAGGCGATTATTCAAACAGTTATTGGAGGCACACAAAGTTTTTGGCTTTAAATAGGCTCCTCTGAAAGCATAAAAGATGCAGGAAAACATTCTCATCAATTTTCTAAAAATTCAGGAGGATAATTTACGTATTTGTCCTTTAAATATAATTTCCATATAAAATAATCTGCCATCCATTCCTCGAAATAAAAATTATTTACGTTTCTTCTTTGAAGAGAAAGAGCACGAAAAATAAGTTTATAAGCATTTTACATCTTGGATCGGCAAACCGATAATGTGAAATTATTATATTTTGAAAGTTTTTATAAATATTTTTTTAGTCTAGCGAAATAGTCAGGGAGCAACAGCTCCAATAATTTCGGCGGAATAAAATTATTGATGGGGTCCCCGCATTAAAAAAAAATCATTAGTTTCTACGTGCATTTCCTCAAGAAAAACATGACTTCTCTCAAGCAATAATTTTAGAACATTAAATGCGCATGAAAAAATAGCTACATATCATTAGTAAACCTAAATTTTTTTTTAGAATTTAATCAATTCTGCCAATTTAAATTTCTGAATTACTAGTTCAATATTTAAAAATCATTGGAGGTAGAAAAAGCGGAACTTCTTCTTCCTTTTCCCCCCATCAACAAATTTTGCCTTGATTTGAAAAAGAAATATTACTGAACAGTAGTTACAAATCAAAAATTCCTCAAACTCAAGCATTTTTGGCCAACATATTTTTATCGTTTTCCCTCAACAAGATTTGCCTTGATTAAAAAAAATAATAATACAGTAGTTACAAGCTTTCAACTCAAAACTTTCTGAAATTCAATCGTTTTCGGCCACCATATTTTGATTGTTTTCCATTCACAATTTTTGTACTTGACAAAATTATAGCATCAACTCAAACCTTCATAAACTTCAAGCGTTACTGGGCCAAAATATTTTGATCGTCTTCCCCTGAACATTTTCGCTATATTTTTGAAAAAAAAAAATAGTTTCAACTTCCTGGGATTAAAGAATTTTTGGCCATAATACAGTATTTCAGACTTGAATTTTTTTTGTAATTGAGTCACTTTTTCCTCACACCGAGAAAAGTTGTTTTTGCATTGCGGAAATTTTTTTAAGGATCTTTCTGTTGAGCGGGAACCCACATACAGTACTTCTAATTCCTCATTCATCGCATATATGAAACCTTTTTCATTTATTTCATTTATTTTTTTCTTGTGGGAAACACAGTAGTGAGTACGGAAAAGGTAAGACTTGCATGCATCACTGCTATCCGACGAATATCCCGCCAGCAATCGTCCCACGTTTGCCGCCCTAACACTCATCATGTTCCTGGACACAGAACTACTGGATTCCTCTCGGCTTTCCGACCCCGACGACGATACAGAGGATTCATCATCATCATTTTCGTCTTCTTCTTCTTCGTAGCTTTTATCAAGTCCTTGCTGTTGTAGTTGTTCGTCGTCGTCTTCTTCTTCTTCATGACTCTCCGAGACCTTGGCAACACTGTGTCTGTTCAGCAACAGGGACCTTCTCGGCTTCGGCGCGGGTTTCGACATCACCACCACCAATGCCTTACTCTCCAGGCGTCGTCGCAATTCGGACCCGGTTTCCGAACAGTCGTCGTCGTCGTTGCCAGAGTCTGCAACCGTGTGGTCTTCATCATCATCTTCTTCTTCTTCGTCGTCTTCACTGGGAGGCATGTCTGGTTCAAAGTCAGGGTTGTCGGGATTTTGCTTCTTTTTCTTCTTCTTGCGACCGGGTCGCCAAGCGAAGATATTCTTCATCAGGCGCCGAAAGCTTTCCGATCGTTTCAACTTTTTCGACCGATTCCCGGGCAGAGGAGTGGAGGTGAGTGCGGGAAGTTCTACGGTTTTGTGAATCAGTGCGGATGAAAAACAAAGAGGCACAAAAACACCGGATACCCAAAAAGAAAAATAAATGTTGATTCGTGAATAAGGTTAAAATACTTGTCGCATGCGATTAACACAGTACAAAAAAAATAAGAGGCGGCGAAAAAGGAAAAAAGATGCATGCAACGTTGGTAACAATGGTGCTCATTACGACGAATCACAAAGATTATTCTAGAACATGGTCCATACGCATGCAGGGCAGTACCTAAAAAAGCTGGAGACGGCATTCCTGGTTCAAAATATTTGAAATATTTCAATTACAAGTCTGAAAAATTCTTCACCCTTGAAAAAAAAAAACTCGAAGAAAAGCTTCATTCCAGGTCCCTTGCATATAATTACAGTACGTGAAAAATTTGCAGAGAATTTTACGCTCTAGTACTGTTTCCCGGTTCTTCTTTCGAAAAAATTTTCGAGATCTTTCTTTTTTGTCACACGCAGGAAAATGCACACTTTTAGAAATGAAACAAAAAAGAAAAACTTGACCTTCGTTTTCTGCTTTGAAATGTAAATTTTCAACTCAAGCTTTCCAAGATTTCGATCAATTTTTAGCCAAAATGTTTGCTGGGTCCTACCTATGAAAATATCAAGTGTTACTATTCAAAGCCTGCAGAGAAATGAGCAATTTGCTCGACAACTGCAATTGTAACATTAGAAACAAAAGCTGTACAGATAGAAGAACAAAACGTTGTTTCCATGTTAGAA